GGGGGGGGGGGGGGTCACATCGCTTTTTGTAAATTCTTTTCAATTTCTTCTTTATGTAAAAAAACTGTAAACACGAAACATCATAAGATTTGTATTTTTCAGTAACATCCTTTTTTTATTCAAGAAAAGAGATTGAGTAATTTAAAATTCCATACGATTGATTTTGCGGAAAGTCATATCGAATACAGAAAAAAAATTTCGTTGAAAAATATTGAAAATTGTAGTACTGTAGGGTTTTTACGAGTTGAAAATATGGAAAAATGTCAATTTTCGATAAGAAATTGAAAAAAAAATTCGATGGAGATTTTCATCGCAAGAAGCTCAACCAATAGGGGAAGTTGGGGTAAAACGGACTTTTGACTTTTTTTAAAAATGATAATGACGGGTTGACATGTTGATAAAATTTAATATTTTTTTCTTCATTGCAAAGAACGATCTTTCCCTTTGTGATGAGCCTACACTGAGCTCAATTGATAAATTTGGTTTCGAGTTATGAGTAATTAAAACAAAAGTCTAGTGTCCATTTTATCCCACTCTCCCCTAATCAAATCACAATAAATCTGGAAAATTATGTTCAGAATTGTCTTATTCCATAAAATCCTTGGAAAATGAAATCCACCGATGTAGGAAAAAAGGAGGGGCAGAGGGGATAAATTTTTAATTCCAAAGAATTGAATTTTAAAGTTCTAATTTACTTTTGTGATGAAAATATGCTTTCGAAGTTTTTTTTTGCTTTTTCTATCGAAAATCGTCATTTTTCTGTATTTTCGACTCATCAACAATGAAGAAATGAACGATAAAATCTATGAAACAGACATTAGCAGGCGATTGTCGTTGAGGTTAGATTCATTATTACTCTCACACTAAACATTTCAACCATTTTGTCCCCAACAATGCATTGCCCTCGTTCATTGTTCCATTTACACAAAAAAAAATTTTGACATTTCTTTGATCGAAAAAAGATGAAACAAGGCTTACATTCGACAACAAAAATCGCAATGAAAAATTGATTTCCGTGCTGACGAGTTGTGTAATCAGTTAGCTATACATTTATGTGAAAATGATATTTTTACCACTTGATTGCGTGGCTGAATTATGGAGAACTGTTTTAAATAGGGAAATACTGAGCTTTACTCACAATTGGATAAAGTGGCTGGAGATTAGTGGAATTTTTCAATCGTCCAGTGAAGTGATTGAACTGGTAAAATGGCATCTTGAGCCCAGAGTTGTGCAATTCGTATCAGCCTGCGCAGACGCACTACTCCTGCCCCTTCGGACACTTTTGTACACAAAATCTGACAAAACTCGTGACAATTCTCAACAAGTTGTCAAAATTTTCATCGAGTCCCACGGGGATACTGCGAAAATGGATAACAAACAACCGCCAACAATTATCTTTCACCCAATCATCTCGTCGATCCAGAAAATCGCATTGTACGAGACCAAATCCGTGAGTATTTCCATTAAAAATATGTACGTTAACAAAAACAAGAATAAAATTGGTTAGATCTTTCAATTTCTTCCGAAGATTAGTGTTCATGCAATACTTGCTTTCGGTTTCGATGTTTTAAAAATATTTATAACTCATTGAATTTTCGATGGAGTGGGATATTTTTATTGCATTTGAAATTAAGTACAATTGTTCTCCTTTGTTACGAGTGTAGACTGATATCAATTAAAGAATTTATTCCTGATCTGGGAACTCTAGAAAAAATGTGTTAAGGATTTCCAAGGACTTTGGCTACTTTTTCTCCAGTGATGCTTTTCTACTTTTGTAGTCTAACATCAAAGCTTTTATTCTGAAATAAATTATTTAAGAATTATTTAAATTTAAGATTTTTTTTTAGCTTTTTGTAGTTTTTTCACGTGAGCCCGATTTGACCCTGAGTTTTTGGATATTTCTATTAAAAAAATGTATGTTAACAAAAATACAAGAATAAAATTCGTTAAAATTGGTATCCTTCAATTTCTTTTGAAAATTACTATTCATAATTTTTCCATACAATACTTGCTTTCGGTTTGGATTTAAAAAAAATATTAATAACCCATTTAATTTTCGATGGAGTGGGATATTTTTGTTGCATTGAAAGTATAATTGTCCCTTTTGTTACGAGTGTAGACTGATCTCAATTAATGAATTTATTCCTGAACTGTGAACTCTAGAAAAAATGTCTTAAGATATCCAAGGACTTTGGCTATTTTTTTGTCTCCAGTGAAATGCTTTACAACTTTTATAGTCTAACATCAGAGCTTTCACTTGAGCCAGATTTCATCCCAAGTTTTCGGATATTTTCCAATGATTTTATTATTTAAACTTTGTACGTCTGAATTTGAATCTTGATATTGAACCGTTAGAAAAAAATTTTTTAATTTGAAAAAAATTGGAAAGTCTACTTTTGGAGGAAGATTAATGAAAAAATTAAAAAATTTCAATTCTTGAAAATTACCAGCATTTTTTCGAAATAATTTATAAACTATAAATTTTCTACCATAAAAATAATTTTTTCGGAATTGTAACAAATTTATTCATATTCAGAATTTTACTAGCAATCAATTTCATGCCTTAAAAAATAAGGCCTCCGAAAGTTTGAAGATTTCAATTATTTATTTACAAACAACGAATGATTAAAAAAATTATGATTTTGTGCAAAATACAACTTGAATGACGCTGGATATTCATGATTTTTTATATTTTCTCATGCAATTTAATTGACAAATTTGATTAATGAAAAGGGTCGAATATATAGTGCGGTCTGTACCAAACTGTCAAATACTTACAACTGTCCTCATGTTTTCCATAAATAATGTTTATAATTTGAGTTCGGGGTCCCCCTGAACTCGATTTTTCCATCTTATGAGAAAACGGTTCTTACTATGTTTTAGAAAAACAAATCCGTGGTAGCTCAATAAATTTCGAATACAGGGAATTTTTGTGAAATTTTATATAATACAAAGTTTCTGCGACATTCAACTCTAAAAATGGAAATGCAAAAGAAATTTCGTGAAATCACTTCTTATTTCATTCAAACAGTTATTGTTGCCTTCATCAACAACATATGAAGACAGAAAAACTCAATAACTTATGCGAATGCAATAAATTAACTCATTTCGATTTTTTTCCGGAAATCCATAGGGACTAGCATTTGATTGGTATTGTCTTGGGATATTCCTTCAGTTGAAACACCCTAGTCAAACGAGAGACTATAATAATTAAAGAAAGAATTGGATACATAAATTTCTTCCCCTCATCAAAGTCAAAGTAGAATTCATCTGAAAAATGATGAATAATTTTTTCTGACCATTTCAACCCTCGATCACTCGCTCCACGAGCGCGGCGCCGCCCGTTTTTGTTTTTTTATATCCAAAAATTAGAATTCCTAGTTCAATCCTTTCATTAAGCGTTGGCGTTGTCCGTTTTTCTCTCGGGAAATTCGTTCAGCTAAAAAAAGAAAAGAAAAGTCAAACGGACAGAAAAGTCGCGCCGCGCCACCCGGTGCGAGTGAGTCCCTGTCGACCCCTCGAGCGGCAGTGTTGCTACATTCACAGCCGCACTTGAAGTGCGCGCATAACGGTAAGCGCCAAGATGGCAACAGCGTGCTCGGTTAACCCAGCGCCGCTGCGCAAACCGTGCGCCGGATGAAGACTGGCGGTCGACCGCGCGTGATCGAGGGTTAAATTAATTTTTCCTTGTCACACCCGCCGACTCAACTGGAGTTCATTCCCGCAACTTTAACCCGGGACCCCTCCTCTCCCCAGAGATTCTACCTGATGGGTTCCAACAACACTCAAACTCGCTTCCGAGTGCTAAAGATCGACCGCCAAGAGCCCCGGGAGCTATCCCTAGTCGACGACAAAATGGAATACACCCAGGAAGAGATAATAGAACTAGTAAACATGATCGACCAGGGTAACCGATCGAAAGCCGGTCACCGTTCGAAAGCCCACGGCGTAGCCAAAGTAGTTTCCGCCTTCGGCATAGTCGGCTTCATCCGCTTCCTCGAGGGTTACTACATAATCCTCGTGACGAAGCGTCGTAGAGTCGCGGTGATCGGTCACCACACGATCTACAAGATCGAGGACACAACGATGATCTACATTCCGAACGATTCGGTCCGCGTTTTCCACCAAGACGAGCAGCGCTACGTCAAGATGTTCCAAAGCATCGACCTGAACAGCAACTTCTACTTCAGCTACTCCTACGACCTGACGCAAACCCTCCAAACGAACTCAGCAGCCCCGAAGCACATAAAAACGGAGACAACCAGCAGCGAGCAAAACCGAGACAGCGCAACCAACGACGAGGATTTCTTCAACATGTGGCTCTCACGGAAGAACTGGCAGAAGAACGATGAGTACGGTATAAGAAGCAATCCCCACCGTCGCTTCGTCTGGAACGATCACCTCCTGAAGCCCGTAGAGAAGGATCTCCACAGAGACTGGATTCTCTACATAACCCACGGCTTCGTCGGCCAGTCCAACGTCAGTATCTTCGGCAGATCAATGTACATCATCTTGATAGCAAGACGCAGCAACAGATACGCAGGAACCAGATTCTTGAAACGAGGAGCCAACTACAAAGGAGACGTTGCCAATGAAGTTGAAACCGAACAGATCGTCCACGACTCGGCGGTGAGTTCCTTGCACAACGGACGATTCAGTTCCTTCGTCCAGATGAGGGGCTCAGTGCCCGGTTACTGGTCCCAAGACATCAGCAAGATGGTTCCTAAACCAACAATCTCCTGCGTTCTAGCCGATCCCTTCTTCGAGTGCGCTGGGGCGCATTTCAACGAACTTCTCAAGCGTTACGGAGCACCGATAATCATCCTCAATTTGGTAAAGAAGAGAGAGAGGAAGAAGCATGAGAGCATCTTGAGTGAGGAGATGTTTGATGCTGTTGAATACCTCAATCAGTTTCTACCTCTTCAGCACCAGATTCAGTACGTAAGCTTCGACATGGCCAGGATGAACAAAGGAAAGACTGCCAACGTTATGGGAAGACTAGCCAACATTGCTAACAATGCAGTCTTGAAAACTGGGATCTTTCAGTCTCAGGAGCCTTACTACAACCAGCGAAAGATCCTCAACCCCTCTGGGAGCGTCAAGAAGAGTCACAAGGAGATGACCACCTCGATGACCAAAAGCTCGGATCTTGAGTTGAATCCGCAGATTGAGGACAAGATCAGAGACTTGTTTTTGACGAAAGGAACCGTTCAAACTGGCATCATTCGGACGAATTGCGTTGATTGCCTTGACAGGACTAATACAGCTCAGTTTGCTATTGGAAAGTGTGCGTTGGGGTATCAACTGTGTGCTCTTGGGGTTCTGGAGCAACCGAAGTTGGAATTTGATTCTGATTGCGTTAGAATGCTGGAGGAGATGTACGAGGATCATGGGGATACTCTTGCTCTGCAGTATGGTGGCTCCCAGCTTGTTCATAGAATCAAGACGTACAGGAAAACTGCACCCTGGACGAGCCAGGGGAATGATATCATGCAAACGTTGAGCAGGTACTACAGCAATACCTTCAGCGATCAAGAGAAACAGCACACGATCAACCTGTTCCTTGGGGTTTTCGTGCCTGAGGAGGGCAAACCACCGATTTGGGAGCTGTTGACGGATTATTATCTACATAACAAGGCGGCGGTGGAGTACAGGAGGAGGAACAGGGTGCTCACCCAGTGGTGGGACGATAATGTTTACAAGTGCCTTCCTTATGCTTATAATCAGGTGGCCAAGACTTGCTCGGAGATGATTCAGGTCCAGCACTCGCAGGAGGAGATGGTCGACATTTACTATGATTATCATCGACCTTTTGAGCTTATTCAGCTGGCTGATATTTATGCTTATCAGGTTAGTGTTTGGGAGAGATTTTTTGCTATTTTTTGTGGCTTTACTACCCCATGATCCCCATGATCCTTATTCTGACCCTTGTGACCCTTAATCTGATCCTTATGACACTTACTTAGACCCTTAATCTCACCCTTGTTATCCTTATTTGGGCCCTTAATATGACCCTTGTGACCTTTAATCTCACCCTCGTGACCCTTATTCTGTTTTTCATGACCCTTGTGACCCTTAATCTGACTCGCGTGACCTTTTTTTGACCCTTAATTTTGGCATTTTAATTTCGAGCACCAAATTTTCATCACCAAAGGTCGATTTGGATTTTTATAATATCGAGAGATATTGAGACCCTTATTTGGACCCTTAACCTGATCCTTATGACACTTACTTAGACCTTTAATCTGACCCTTGTGACTTTTAATCTGACCGTCGAGACTCTCGTGACCCTTGTGACCCTTAATTTTGGAGTCTTCATTTCGAGTACCAAATTTTTATCACCAAAAATCGATTTGGATTTTCATAATATAGAGAGATTCCAGAAAAAGCATTTGATTGCTGTCTTGCTTTCATGTTCATTAGGTGAGTCACTCGGTGAGGGATTTCATGCCTCATTTCACCACGAATTTTAGTCCCTTCGCCGTGAGAATCAGACCAGGCAGAAGAAGGGAGGAAACTTCCAGTAAAAATGCGAACATCAAGAATCCCTCGATGACAGGACAAAGCAGCACCAGCAGTAATGCGAGCAGTGCTAGCTCCAGCGTGGATACGAGTTCCGATGACGAAGACTCGAGACATGGAAGTGACAACCAGTTGATTCCACTGAAGGACCCCGGTGAGATGAGTTTCGAGAGCCTGTTTCCCTCGATGAGAGAGGTCTACGGGGTCGAGCTACAGATTCCCAGGAGGAGTGATCTCGTTCTGTACAAGAGGTATGTCATGATGGGACGAAATGCAACTCATCACAGTGATCACTCCAGTTTGAGGTCCAAGATGTTGCAGCAGGCGACTTTCCCTGATGTCGCCCCTGTCACGGTAGAACTGCCCAAGGTCTCAGATACCGGTGTCAGTATTTACGAGCAGTATGTGCAGAGGGGGAAGAATGGGGGCTTCGCTCCCAATCCTATGGATCTTCATTTGTATGAGAAGTACGCCAGACAGCAGCAGATGATACTGGGGGTCCGTTGCAAAGAGGCTTTTTGAGAGGGGTGGACACTATTCCATGATAAATCAAATGGAAATGTGATTTTGAATGTTCAAACTTGATGGAAGGATATTTACATATGATAATTACACTATTTTATCATTTCAATGAATATCAAATGGGAAATTTTGTTTTTTTCTTTCTTGTTTTTTTGCGAATGTGGAAGAAGTATTTATTCACTTCGAATAATGAAATTCAACCATTTCAGGGAATCATTGTCAACTACTTGAAATATCGTTTTTTCTAATTGTTTAAACACAATTTTATTTGTGAAATTCCGGGAATTTGAATCGCATTCTTATATCATTTTTATGTCATTTTTAATGGTTTGAAATAGTAAGGATATCTAAGTATCTTTTACAATTTGGTACACACGACTATTCAGCGTCATTCAAATTACATTTTGCACAGAATTATTGTTTTTAAATATTCATTGTTTAGAAATAAATAATTGAAATTGTTCAAACTTTCAGAAACCTAATTTTTTTAGCCATGAAATCGATTTCTGGTAAAATTCTGAATATGAAAATATTTGTTACGATTCTGAACAAATGATTTTTATGGTGGAAAATTGATTGTTTATCAATCGAGATACACGATAGCGTATCGTTATTTATTGAAAATCCTAGTAATTTTCAAAAATTGCAATTTTTGAATTATTTCATGAATTTTTCTCCAAAATAAACTTTCTATTTCTTCACATTTTTAAAATGCTTTTTAACAGTTCAATATCAAGATTCAAACTCACACCTACGAAGTTTAAATAATAAAATCATTGTAAAGTGTTCGGAAACTTGGGGTCAAATGGGGCTCAAATGAAAGCTCTGATGTTCGACTACAAAAGTAGAACAGCATTTCACTCGAAAAAAATTGCCAAAGTACTTGGATATCCTTAATCAGTTGTAAATACTTGGAAAGAAGAAGGTTGAAGTTGAAGTTTAGCCATTAGTTTTTGTGGTTTTCCAAAAACAATAAACAGCAAGTCAAATTTGTTATTAATTAATAACAAATATATCATATTTAATTAGATGAATTTCTCAATGTGATATGTATTCTTTTATAAGTGTGAGAATGGATAATGGAAACGAATGTGATTTAGCTTTGATATTCATGCATTTTCATTCTGAGAAAAATAATTTTATTTGTTAGGGCTATTGACTTCACCTCTAATGTTGTTGAATTGTTTCCTTCTTATTGGATTTAAAATTCATTTTTTTACGAGCGATTATATTCTGAAACGAATGTGTTTTGAATTAATTAAAAGGATTGATGTAAAAAAATAGTAAATATATCTTCAATTTTATCGAAGAACAGAGAACTGATGACATTTCTTAAACCTCATCAATTATTCGGCCAGAAGAGTAATAAAGTTGATCAATAAATACAGTAACAGGATTTAAATGTCATTCCGACGTTTTATTTATTGATAGAAATAGGATACAGGCTCTGCGTTTTTCTGCACAATCGAAAAATAATACAAAAAGTATTTTTCGACTGCCTGCACATGGTTTTGCTGTTTACTTCAACTTCTTCTTGGGGCGAATGTTGTTCGTGTGTCCACACTTCTTCTTGCGGCAGTTGGTTGCCCTTGGGTGAAGACGGGCGTAGCACTTGCGGCAGATCATCTTGTCGCAGTTGTATTTCTGGGCCAGAATCCTCAGGGTGGGCTCAATGACACCACCACGAAGACGAAGCACCAAGTGAAGGGTTGATTCTATGGAAAAAAAATATTCATCAATTTAAAAAAAAAATTTTGGTTATATTTCCTCAGAGGAATCAATTGAGATGAACGTAAAGTCAATGTTAATCAGACAGTTAATTGCAGTATTTGGAAGACAACATTGCAATATTTTCTTGTTTGGAGTTTAATCATTTTAGAAAATGTCTCAATTTTTTCAAGATCATTGAACTGTAATAAAAAAGTGTTTTCAAATTTTCCTCTCGAACGAAGTTTTATGAAGATAATCTTCATAATCATCTAGATGTGAAATGCTGAATTCAATTTTTCTATTTCGCCATAAAATTAGTATTTTGGGGAAGAATGATTTTAGGAGGAAGAGTGGAGGAATTTTTTGTGCCGAGAATTCAATTTCTTCAGAAAAACTATTTCAAAGTTTCATTATTTTATTAGCTACTCCCCAGCTAATAAAATAATTAAGAAATGAAAAAAATTAAGTGCATGAATCAAGTTTAATGCAGTATCAAATCATTTTCATCATGACATCATGAATTTTTTTATAGAACAATTGAACTCTATAGATAATATTTAAATGATTACACTACTGAAAATACAGATTTATTATTCTTACTGTTATCACCACCGAACAAGGTTTTCTGACAGATTAAGTAATTACAGAATTCCCTTAATGAAGAGTGATTTGAGAAAAAAAATTCATCATTTTTTGTAGCAGTTGAAAATTCTAATGAGAAAATTCCTTTGACATTTCCTCCTGAAACAATTCGTTCTCTAGATGATGGAAAAGTTAAAGTCTATGATCAATTCTAGGAGCACATGTCTTATTTTTTTTTGGTTCCTAGATGTTTTCTCCGAAAAGAGTTGAATTGTATCTACGTTTTCATCATTTTCCCTTTGAAAATATCAAGATTTTTCGCTGAAAATTTAATCTCCTACGGGAGGTTGGGGTAAAATGAACACTTTTGACTTTTTTAAAAATGTTAATGACGGATTGAAATGTTGATAAAATGTCATAATTTTTTTTCACTACAAAGAACAATTCTTTTCCTTTGTGATGAGCCTAAACTGAGCTCAATTGATAAATTTATTTCTGAGTTATGAGTAATTAAAACAAAAGTCTAGTGTCTATTTTACCCCACTCGCCCCTACTAAAAAAATACTGATAAATTTAGGTAATTATGGAAGATTCTAAAAGCGAAAGATTTAAGGAGAAAATATCAAGAGACTGTTCTTTGTAAAAAATGAAATTGCTAACGAAAAATATCTCGTGAAGGTTTCTCCTAGATCATTGATTGTCAAAATAGCTTCACAATTATCTACATGCGACACATGAAGTCAGGTATTTCCAGGATTAATTAATGAGAAATGAATAATTACCCTTCTGGATGTTGTAGTCAGAGAGAGTACGGCCATCCTCTAATTGTTTTCCAGCGAAGATCAACCTCTGCTGGTCTGGAGGAATGCCCTCCTTATCCTGAATCTTGGCTTTGACATTTTCGATCGTATCAGAAGCCTCAACCTCAAGGGTGATGGTCTTCCCCGTCAATGTCTTGACGAAAATCTGCATTGTGGCTCGACTAAAAAATTCAATCGTACCGATAATTTCATTCCATTCCTTTCAAACAATTTACGAAAAAATCTATTCTCAGATAATAATTAATTAATGCAATTACAGTTATTAAAAAGTCTAATCACACTGAGGATTTAGATGAGCATTAATTTACGATGGATAACCTAAAAAACGACAGACACCTCTGTCACTTCGCTCAAGTTTGATAAAAAACATTTGACGGTGTAATTGATAAAAATGTGAGGGGAAAATAATTCATTTGTTTTTCGTTGATGATTATTACTCATAATTCGTCATTTTTTACGGAAAAATTGTGAAAATTGGGTGACTTACTGTGTCGACAACGTGCAGGCCACACAATTCGGCCAGAAAAGAATGGACCGAGCTGGTGGCGCCTTCAACTTCCGCCGGTCAGTGACGTAACTCCTCTTTCCTCAGTCGGTACCTCCTGCCCTCTTCTGGATACTCCACGCACTTTTCAAGCGTTTTATGCTGCCGAAGGACGATGAATTACCGACAATTTAAATCAGTAGCGAAGTGGTAAAACGGTTTAAGCCGACTTATCTCGAGTTTTTGAGGAATATTTCCGAATCTAAGGGAGATGGAGAAATTTTCGTGATTATATTTGCTCTCAATTAAAGGCCCGAGTTGAAGACCCGAGTTTGTAGCAGAGATGTCAGACCAGATATGAATGTTTTTTTGGGCAGACTCCTAGACCCCAATGTTCTATACATACTGCTAGACCCCATTGTCCTCCTAGACATGGTTGTCACAACTCTGCTTTTCAATTGAAAATAGACATCATCTTTAGAGACATTTGTCATTTTTAGAGTCAGTCGTGGAAGTATGAACGGAGCCCCCCCTTGGCCCCCCAAGAGTAGTTAGTTTAGAGACCACTTGATGGCCCCCACATCAATGTCGCTATCCCTAATTGGTCGAAAAGCAAGAGAGTGGGAAGTTGTCGTCCCCCATTGGCCGAGACGCACCTCAAGATTCGGTTAGATCGGCTCAAGCCATTCTGTGATTGGTCCAGCACTCAACCGTCTTTGTGACGTCATTAGTGATTTGAAAGCGTATGAAATCTTCAACTTCTAACAATTAATTATTAATTAATGAGCAATATTTCGAACGTTTGTGAATGAAAAATTAATTATTCAAGTCCCAAACTTGCGATTAGAAAAGTGAAAACAAATCACGCAAGTTGCCGATTGTAAAATTCCTCTCCCACGTATCTCAGTCAATAACTTCACTGCTGCATCAAAGAAATCAGAATGTCAGAATCGAGTTTCCCCTCATTCCTCCCCGATCCGTTAAATCCAGTGTAATGCCACCACATCAATGACTAATCTCTATAAACTCCTCTGACTCACCGGAAATAAAGCAAATATTTGATCTATAAAAGAAATGAGTTGAATGCCAAGTTGATACGAGTACATCTCTGAACTCCGCAAATAAAATTCTAGTAACATGCACTTAAACGAATACATTGAGGCCAGTGCGTATGCCACAGGCCTCTCTCGAAATTCCTGAGATTAAAAACTCGATTGAGGTCCAGAATGACAAATAAACGAGAGAATTTTTTTTAATCGTTATGCAGTATATTTCCACTTGCTACCTCGAGGTAACTCAATTACACGTAAAAAGCATGCAAACATAATCGGGAGAGTATACAATTAACCCAGTTCAACATTCTCGCAAGAGCTATTAATTAATTTTTTTCTTTCCATTTAATTTAATATATTCAAACTAATGAATCAATACACATGTACATGCAGCCCCTCTCTATACGTTATGGCACGCTGATAAAACATCTATGATTTCAATATAATTTACTGTCAATCAATTGAAAATTACAAATTCCAATGAAAATAAAAAATCATTAGTTGTGACATTTACATATTGATTGATTTTGTTTCCGGAGAGAAATATTAAATTAATGATAATGAGAGTAACATTATTATTTTTATCGATTAAATACAGTTGAAAGCGTATTTGACACATTAATACAAAAGTACGCAGAGAATGCAGAGAAAAAGAAAATCAATGAATAATAATAAAATAATTATTTATGAAAGATATATCCTCTGAGGAATGAATTCAATAACTAGACATTGTCTACGTAATTTTTCTGGAGGCACTTGATGACATTTTTTTACAATTAGGAAGTGATAATGATCTATTGAATTCAGCTGCGTTGTCTGTTGTGATAATTGTTGGATGGATAATTCGCTATTGATTCAATTTTGTCCTTCTTCTTTGGGCACTTGCCCTGGTGCACTATGTACTCTCCAAACTCGCATGTGGGCATCGCGCACTGTTGCTGCCATATGCAACTGAGAACAAAAATAAAACAGATGTGAGGGGTAATTAATCATCGTGAGTTCGCCGTGAGTCAATGGATCTGCGTGTGACGATGGGCGTTGTAAATTTATGCGATAATTGCGTTTTATTGTTTTTTTTTAGGACCGGAGCCATTTCAAAGGCGTGCGGAGAGGAATGGCTCGTCAATTTCTTTGAAGTAATGATGGGAATTTAGTGCACGTGAGTGATTCGGGTTTGTGTAATCTGAGATGTTTGGGAGAGATTCTGGGGTGAAGTGATCAATAATTTTTGTTGTTCACACATTTTCTTTCTATATTATGAAAATCCAAATCGACTTCTGATGATAACATCACAAGTAAGGGCCATAAGGGTAAAAGTAAGGGTCGCGAGGGTCAAAGGAATGATCAGGAGGGTCAGAATAATGGTCATAAGGGAAAAATAATAGTCACGAGGTTCACATTCAGGGTCATGAGGGGCAGAATAAGGGTCGCGGGGATGAAGATAAGGGTCGTGAGGGTGAGAATAAGGGTTACGAGGGTCAGAATGAAGGTTGAGAGGGTCAGATTAAGGTTCACAGGGAAGATTAAGGGTCATGGTCAGAATAAGGTCACAAGTGTCAGCTTAAGGGCCACAAGGGTCAGATTAAGGGTCACAGGGGTCAGATTAAGAATCATGAGTCAGATTAAGGGTCACAAGGGTCAGATTAAGGGTTATACTACCCATCAGATTAAGGATCACGAGGGTGAGAATAAAGGTCGCGAGCGTCAGATTAAGGGTCACAAAGTTCAGATTAAGGGTCATGAGGGTCAGAATAAGGGTTATACTACGGATCAGATTAAGGATCACGAACAAAATTAAAGGTCACAGTCGTCAGATTAAGGGTCATGAGGGTCAGAATAAGGGTCACGAGGGTCAGATAAAGGGTCAGATTCAGGATTATACCGATTAGATTGAAGGTCACGACGGGTATAATAAGGGTCAGATTAAGGGTCACGAGGGGTATAATGAGGGTCGGAATGAGGGTCACGAGGGTCAGAATAAAGATGATGGGGGTCATATGGGGATTGGCGAGGGGAGCGAACAGGGAGCATAGCCCCAAGTCAGGCATAAAATTTAATGGAAGAATCGAACCATCAGATTTTAGGAAAAAGCATCCGAATGTAACATACTCACAGTCTATCCGTCGCTGAGAAGTACGCTTTTCCCCTCCTCGCGTGTATGCAATTCTCGTCCCTCTCAAAGCATTTGCACTGACATTCACCATCAGCAGTGATTCTGGGGGTGAATTCTGACGGGCATCGACACCTTCCGGAAGTAATGAAAAACCAACAACGTTAGAAGAAAAAATAACCGCAACATTGTACTTCCTCGCGGCAGCAATACTGCAAAACTTACGATTTCTTCTGCGGGGGAATCCTGATGTTCTGCGGTGGCGAAGTGAGCTGATATTCATGCCTAAATCGTCCTTCAGTTCCCCCCGTATACTCCGTTTTTTCCCTGCACTCACATTTCGTGTGATTATAGAACGACAGCTTCTTAACGACAGTTTGAGCGCCAACACTGGTTGCCTGCAGCAAATCAGATTAAATCATTACTTAGAGATGACTAAACTGACCGGTCAAGTGACCGTTAATGGCCACCAGCTGACCGCTAATTATCGCGCCGAGAGCCAAAACATGCATGAGAAAATTTGATAGAAGACCTAGCGAATTCGTTAGAAAATTCTACTGAATTTCTATTGAACTTTCTATTTGCTTTTTGCCGATTCGATTGAAATGTTCAATAGAAAAAGTCAATAAAATTAGATTTTTCTACATAACTTATTGTATTGAGAAATTTTCTATAGAATTTCCTCCGCCCCAATTCTGATATTTTCTATAGAATTTTCTCGGCTCAAATTTTCCAAATTTTTCCATTTTATTTTTCTTTTCTTCTCATCAACAAAATCAAACAAAAAAACTTTGCATCTGCACTGTCAAAATTCTCTTTTAATTTCATGGAAGATGTAGTAAATCTCATGAGAGTGACATTAAATCGAATTCAGGGTCACAAGGGTCACGAGGGAAAAAATGAATTTCCAGTACACGTTTCGGAAATTTTAATCACATTTAAATTCCACTGAAATTTCAAGAAATTTCGCCATTGAAAATTCTGAATTTCGGGAAAAAACCAATGAGAGCCGTAATTTCACTGAATTATTAATTCAATTGACCACTCAATTGGATTCAGTGGCCCTGTTAAAAAAATTACTAGTCAACTTCATTAAATTACATTTTTTCTAACTGCGTATCATTGACAACGGGACCATTGATGACAATTAGTAATTAAAATAATTAATGATCATAATTGAATTTTACTAAAAAGTTTTTCGATCACACCCTTAAAAAATGACCGAAATAAAACTGACAATCATTTTGCCCACAAAATTCGGTCACGGTCAGAAACCGGTCATTTACGCATGACCTGACCGAAAAGGCAAATGCCGATCATTCTACATCTCTATTCATCACCGCGCAAAACAGCCTGAAACACTCAATCGAAAACAATGAATGACACGATTCAACAGCTGCTCCACCCATCTATAACAATTCAATTGCCCTTTTCCACCGCATGCCCCACGAACAATGTGACAACACCTGAGATAAAGCCATTCTCCTCAACAATCAAATCCGATAGCATTACCATTATATAAAACAATGAATGAGTTTATGGGACACCACGTCTGTCACGCGGACCTGTTCCTATAATTATCTGCAATACCGCAGGCAAAAAAAAATCTAATGGATTTATAGGCCAACGCCGTTGACAGCAGACAGCTCTCAACAATTAACGCGATCACGACATACCCCTTTTGAAAAATCCTAACTGAATTTACAAGATAAACCTGACGTACAGTTAATGAATACGACATCATACCGATCGACACTGGAGGGCAATGATCAGCTCGCGATGACAGGTAGCCAACCAACCCCACCTCATTGCCAATATGAAGCATGTAATTTCAGGTGGTAAATAACGATAAAGCGAATGCATAAATCAACGTCGTTCGACGTACATGAGCTGGATCATGATCTTGCGTACACACGCGACGAGTCGTGCGGATAAACAAACGCTACACGTAATACAGCGGATTGCCTAGAAGCCATTCACGCCCGTGACAATTTATCTGACATCAGCGAGTGCTGTTATAACGTTTGAATTTTCCACAGGGTATTTGCACGGTACTTCAGGTAGTGAAATGCCACGCGTGCTTTCTGAAATACGAGAGATAACCAGACTGTTGGCAGTGGATAAATATACGTTCAACGGGTGAGGGAAGCGATGCCACTTGAGCTAATTAACCTTTGGTGAAACCCCTCGGGTATGCGTCTTACTCGTGAAATTATGAAGCATCAGATTACTCATGCGTTTTAAATTGTCGGGGGGACATTTAGGGAGGAAGGGGCAGAGGTCGAGGGGGATATGCGGGGCAGCCATGGTTTAATAAGAGCTTGTGAGTGGAGTTACGGAGTTGGAGGTGATTTTTTTTATGGAGATCAAGTGGTGATCGTGAGATGTTTGAAAGGCAACCGGCATTTTCACTTCCGAATGGAAGCATTGTATCCGGCAAATCCGAAATTTCCTGGTTTTTGTGGTGGGGCGGGGGAGACCGGGGGGAAATTAAATGTGAATTTTTCCATTCACGACCACATCGAACCTTTCCACTTTTTCAATCATTTAATTTATCGATTGAATTGCGGGAGAACAATTTTTAAAAAAATCATGAATATTCGGTGTCATTGAAATTAACCGTTGCATTGAATTGTTATTTTTTTAAACATTCGTTGGTTATAAATGAATAATTGAAATTATTTAAACTTTCGGAAACGTTATTTTTTAGGCATGAAATCAATGGTTTATACGTTATGTATAGAAATTGCTAGTCATTTTCAAAAATTTCAATTTTTTTATTATTTCATCAATCTTCTCGCAAAAGTAAACGTTCTAATTTTTCTTCAGATTTTTAAAATGTTTTCCAACGGTTCAATATCGTAATTCAAATTCAGATCTGCAAAGTAGTCAAGACCTGAAACTTAGGGTCAAATGGAGCTCAAATGAAAGCTCTGATGTTTGATTAAAAAAGTAGAAAAGCGCTGCCCTGAAGAAAAAATAACCAAAGTACTTGGATATCCTTCAAGTAATGTTGGCTGCCAATGTTGGGACAGTGTTGGCAACGTCGGGACAATGTTGAATTCAATGAATCATTGTTTTGAATGTAAAATACATGGTTACAGAAATTCAGTAGCGAAGTGGTAGACCGGTTTAAGTCAATTTTTACTATTGACAAGTTTTTAGTGAATATCACGGAATCGAAGGGAGATAGCTAAATTTTTGTTAAAACCTTTTTTGTAGCACTCAATTTGCTCTAGAAAAAAGGTTATTACGAAAATTTCATTATCTCCCGTAAATTCGGAGATATTCTTCAAAAACTCAACTAAGAGATAAGTCGACTTAATCCGTTTTACCACTTCGCTACTGAATTCTATTCGGAAGTAAATTGCTAATTTATTAGCAAAAATATATTGACTATGTTGTGACGGACGCAATTTCCCGCGTGTTTTAATCGTCTAAGAGATCGTCGCAGGATTTTAGAATATTTGGGACGATTCGGATTGACGTACGATTGAGCCTTTCTAACTCATCTTTTTGTTGTTGTCACAGTGCGTCTGAAGACGGAGAGTTAACTCAGAGGAGTTAGCGAGACTAAAGAAAACAAAGAAAACTGAAATTACCATAAGCACTGAACGTTCCAGAATTTTTTAATAATGGAGACTGATAGTCCTGACGTCAAGAAGTTAGAGAGACTCCTTTCTATCACTAGATTTTTGTGTATGATTGATGAGAAAATCATCATCAACGCTAGAAGTTCCATAATTTCTCAATTCTGTGGAATAACAGCCCTGAGGACACGACGCCAGAGGATACTTTCCTACAAAATAAATGGCACATCAGGTTGATCTCATACTGACCATCATCGAAGGTCAATTCAATGGGAAAACATTTGTTTTCTCCATAGAAGGAACGAGATATAAATCCATCTGTCTGCTAGTAGTCTGTCTAGCCGGCTAATAGAGCCCATCTATCTTCCCTCTCTGTTTTCCGAACCGGTCGTCCTGCACGTTAGATCAGAACTAAGAGATCGTCACAGGTTTTTAAAATATTTGGGACGATTCGGATTGACGTACGATTGACCCTTTCTAACTCATGTTTTTGTTGTTGTCACAGTGCGTCTGAAGACGGAGAGTTAACTCAGAGGAGTTAGCGAGACTAAAGAAAACAAAGAAAACTGAAATTACCATAAGCACTGAACGTTCCAGAATTTTTTAATAATGGAGACTGATAGTCCTGACGTCAAGAAGTTAGAGAGACTCCTTTCTATCACTAGATTTTTGTGTATGATTGATGAGAAAATCATCATCAACGCTAGAAGTTCCATAATTTCTCAATTCTGTGGAATAACAGCCCCGAGGACACGAAGCCAGAGGATACTTTCCTACAAAATAAATGGCACATCAGGTTGATCTCATACTGACCATCATCGAAGGTCAATTCAATGGGAAAACATTTGTTTTCTCCATAAAAGGAACGAGATATAAATCCATCTGTCTGCTAGTAGTCTGTCTAGCCGGCTGATAGAGCCCATCTATCTTCCCTCTCTGTTTTCCGAACCGGTCGTCCTGCACGTTACATCAGAACTAAGAGATCGTCACAGGTTTTTAAAATATTTGGGACGATTCGGATTGACGTACGATTGACCCTTTCTAACTCATGTTTTTGTTGTTGTCACAGTGCGTCTGAAGACGGAGAGTTAACTCAGAGGAGTTAGCGAGACTAAAGAAAACAAAGAAAACTGAAATTACCATAAGCACTGAACGTTCCAGAATTTTTTAATAATGGAGACTGATAGTCCTGACGTCAAGAAGTTAGAGAGACTCCTTTCTATCACTAGATTTTTGTGTATGATTGATGAGAAAATCATCATCAACGCTAGAAGTTCCATAATTTCTCAATTCTGTGGAATAACAGCCCCGAGGACACGAAGCCAGAGGATACTTTCCTACAAAATAAATGGCACATCAGGTTGATCTCATACTGACCATCATCGAAGGTCAATTCAATGGGAAAACATTTGTTTTCTCCATAAAAGGAACGAGATATAAATCCATCTGTCTGCTAGTAGTCTGTCTAGCCGGCTAATAGAGCCCATCTATCTTCCCTCTCTGTTTTCCGAACCGGTCGTCCTGCATGTTAGATCAGAACTAAGAGATCGTCACAGGTTTTTAAAATATTTGGGACGATTCGGATTGACGTACGATTGACCCTTTCTAACTCATGTTTTTGTTGTTGTCACAGTGCGTCTGAAGACGGAGAGTTAACTCAGAGGAGTTAGCGAGACTAAAGAAAACAAAGAAAACTGAAATTACCATAAGCACTGAACGTTCCAGAATTTTTTAATAATGGAGACTGATAGTCCTGACGTCAAGAAGTTAGAGAGACTCCTTTCTATCACTAGATTTTTGTGTATGAT